CACAACTTCAGCTCCAGGCTGATACTAGGCTGTGACTCCAGCTCTGGCTCCTGACTGGGCTGCGATTTTGGCTCTGGGCCCATCTTGGGCGGCAACTTCATCTCTGATCTCTGTTCAGTCTGTGAGTGAAGATCTGGAGCCCTTTAGGGACACTACCATGGCTCCAGCCCCATCTTTGGCAATTATTTCAGCTCCAGGCCCTATCTTGAGCCACAACTTTGATTCCGGCCCCATTTCAGGTCATGGCTTTGTCCCCAGCCTGATATTGGGCTGTGACTTCAGCTCCTGCCCGATCTTGAGCAGTGACTTAGGCTCTGGGCTCATCTTGGGCCACAATTTTGTCTCTGGCCCTCTCTTCAGCTGCAGTTTTGGCTTCAACCCCCACATCAATTTGCAACTTCAGCTCCAGCCCAATATCGGGCCGTGAATTAGGCTCTGGCTCCATCTTGGGCCACAGTTTTGGCTCTGATCCCTGCTATGACCATGACAACTACTCCAGCCCCATCTCAAACTGCAACGTTGGCTCTGGCCCCTGTTTCAGTTTCATCCTCTACCTCTGCCAGCTGCTTTGGCTGCAGATCCATCTCGGGCTGTGACTTTGGCTCCAGCCCAAGTGTGGGCCATGGTCTCTGCTCTGTCCCTGGTTTGGGCTGCTGCTTGAGCTCTGTTCCAGTCTCAGGTCACAACTTCAGCTCTGGCCCCTTCTTCAGTCACAAATTTGCTTCCAGCTTGTGTTCAGGGCATGCCTTCAGCTCTAGCCCTGTATGGGGCTGTGCCTTCAGCTTCTGCCGTCTTGGGCTGCTGCTCATCTCCAACCCAAATTCAGCTCTGGTCCATGCTCAGGCGGCCACTGCAGCTCCGGCCACTATTTGGACTGCGACTTTGCCTCTGGTCCCTGGTCAGGCTATTACTTTGCCTGCAGCCCCATCTCAGGCTGCTACTTGGGCTCAGGTCACAAGGCAGCTCCAGCCTAATATCGGTGGCTACTCAGGCAGCTACTGCTCAGGCAGCCTGAAATCAGAGCACAATTTTGGCTCTGGCCCGTGCTCAGTCCATGACTTCTGCTCCAGCACTACTTCAGGCTGCAGCTTCAGCTCTTGACTGATAGCGGGCTGCAACTTTTGCTCTGGCCCATTCTTGGGCAGTGATTTCAGCACTGGCCTCTGCTTGGGATGTACCTTTGGTTCAGGCCCCATCTTGGGTTACCACTTTGGCTCTGGCGCCTTATTGGACAGAGATTTCAGCCCTGTTCCATGTTTTGACTGTGACTTCTGCTCCAGCCCCACCTTGAGCCATGAGCTCGGCAGTGGCTGCATTTGGATCTCCTCTTCAGCTCCCATCCAATTATTAGGCCATGACTTTGGGTCTGGCCCAATAATGGATCACGACTTCAGCTCTGGTCCCTGCTCAGGAGGCTACTGTGGCTCTCACCCATATTTAGGTTGTTACTTCAGCTACAGGCCCATCATGGGCTGTGACTTTGGCTCTGGCCCCATTTCAAGCCACAAGTTTGGCTCCAGCCCCATATTGGTCTGTGATTTCAACTCTAACCCCACTTTCAGCCACATCTTTGGCTCTGGCCCAATCTTAGGCCATGTCTTTGGCTCCAGCCCCTATTATTTGGCTTGTTAATTTGTGCCTGGCTCTAGACGTGACTTCAGCTCCACCCCAACTTCAGGTCGCAGTTTCAGCTCCAGACCCATCTGTGGCCTTTGACTCAGATCTGCCCTGATACTTGGTTGCCCCTTCAGCTCCAGCACCTGCTTGATCTATGACTTCGGCTAGGGCCTGATAACAGGTTGTGACTTTGACTCCAGCCCCATGTCGGTCTGTGGCTTCACCTCCAACGCCATCTCCAGTCATGATTTCAGCTCTAGCCTGATATTGGGCAGTGGCTTAGGCTCTGGCCTCCATCTCTGGCCATTGATTTGGCTGCAGCTTGGGTCACGACATTGGCTCCAGTACTACCTCAGGTGCCATCTGCTGCTCTAGCTTGATATTGGGCTGCCATTGTTGCTCCAGCCCATTTTGGACATTACTTTGACTCTGGCCCCATCTTCAGCTGCAATTTTGGCTCTGGTCCCCCATCTTGAGCCACAACTTCAGCTCCAGCTGCATATTGGGTTGTGATGTCAGCTTCAGACCCTGTTCACATCATGACATCTCCAGCCTCATCTTGGAGCCAGTTTCGGTGCTGATCCCTGCTGTGATCACAACATATACTACAGACCCATCTTGGTCTACGACTTCACCTCCAGACTTATCTCAGTATGTGAATTTGGCTTTGGACCCGTATTGGTCTATGATGTCAGCTTCTGCCCTTATTTTGGGCTACTTGCCTCCAACCCAAATTCAGCTCTGGTCCATGCTCAGGCAGCTATCTGCAACATCATCTTCAGCCTGATACTGGGCCATGACTTCCAGGTCCAGCCTCTGCTTGGGCTCTCATTACTGCTCTGGCTTCTGTCTGGCCCTTGACTTCTGGTGCTATCTTGGGCTGTGACTTTGGGTCCTGCCCAATATCAAGCAGAAAATTTGGCTCTGGCCCATGCTCAGGCAGCAACTTTGGCACTAGTATCAAATCAAGCCTTGACTTTGTCAAGATATTGGGATGAGGCTTCATCTCCTGCCTCATCTTGGGCAGCAATTTCAGCTCTGGTCCTACCTCCAGTTGCTATTTGGGCTCCAGCCCCATCTTCAGCTGTGACTTTGGCTCTGAACAGCGCTTGGGATGAAACTTTGGCCCCTGCCCCTGATTGGGTCATATCTTTGGCTCTGATCCTCATTTGCGCATTATTTTGCCTCCAGCCCCATCTCAGCTCCAGCCAGACTTTGCATCTAACTCTTGCTCAGGCTGCTACTCTGTTTAGTAGAGGACAGGTACAGTTGGACTCAATGATCTTAAGGTCTTTTCCAACCAAATGATTCTATGATTCAGCTCTGGCATCACCTTGGGCCATGACTTTGGCTTGAACCCCTACTTGAGCAGTCACTTTGCTTGGGCCCTTACACAGGCTGCGTCTTCAGCCCCATCTTGCACCACCACTTCTGCTCTGGCTCCTTTTCAGGCTGTTACTTTGGCTCTGGCTCCATCCTGAGATGAGACCTTGGCTTTAGCCCCATCTCAGGCTGTAACTTTTGCTCCAGGTCCTGCTTGGTCTCTACTTCAGCTTCTGCTTGGGCTGTGACTTTGTTTCCTGCGTCTGCGCTGGTGCCTTCGCGTACGTACCGATACCAGAGGCAGACAGTATGATGCCCTGCGGTGGTGTTACGTGCGAGTCGGGGAGCAGGCAGAAGTGGGGTAGTCAGTCACCAAAGCAGCAATTTCTGTGCTGCCTGTGTGGTGGCAGCTACCTTAGTCCTGGTCTCACCAGATTGCTGAAGGTTTTGCAAAGAGGTGGAGGGACCCACACCCTCGAGGGCCTAAAGGGCAGGTAAATGGACGGCCATTTCCCATGAGGATGCTGAGCTGCCAGGGGAGGAAGGCAGCCCCTGCTAGCATTGACCAGGTGGTGCTGCAGGCAACGGAGGGTGCTCCTAGGCTTCTGCCTGCGCTCTTCACCTCACCAAGGACTCTCGGCACTCTGCTGGGGAGAGTTCAGGGAGGGAGCTCTGCTGGGCATTCCCTTGCTCAGGTCACTCGTTGGATGCCTCAATGCCAGCTCTAGGTGCTGCAGCCAAACTGTTTGCTTTCCCAGGCCATGGCACCTGCTCGTCTGTCCCTTCTGTGTTGCCAAAGGCACCCACTGATGCTGCTCCACCTTGAGGGACACTGCTGCCACATGGGAGCTTCCCACCTGTGCTGGCTTGGGCACCAGTAAGAGGAGCCCCTGTGCTGTCCCTTCACCCCCTAGCCTGACGCAAATGCCCAGCCTGTGAGCACAGCCCTGCTGCACCACCTCGCCAAAGGGGGATGGAAGCTGGCTTCCAGCCACACAGACCCACACTGTGTTGTACTGCCAATAGCGAGAGCCACACCCCAGTATTGTGGCAAAAGCTGTGGAAATTAAGTTTTAAGTGAGCTACAAGGATGAAAGTCAACTTTATCCTATAGTTAAAATTGCAGTGTAGCTAGGTGCCTGCTGAGCACCCAGTGGACTAGTGTCGTTCATTCCCTGGGTGGCCCAGGAACTCCCCAGCTGGTCTCCAGACTAATGAGAAAATGCATCGATTCCTCATGAAGCTGGCTTGAGCCAAGGTCACCCGTACAACCAAGCATTTGACTAATTGTCACAGAAGCTCTCCAGGTCAGGTTTTCAAAGTCTTAAAGATTCACCTTCCTGCTTTGTGTAAATCAATCCACATAATTGTGTGCTTTGCTAATTGACATCCTGGGTGGAGGATGCGGCTGTCCCAGAAACTCAAGGTTGTTCATGCTGCAAAATTGACCAAGCAGTACACTGATGAGACACTTGCCAATAGTCACTAGGAGCTGTTTCTGCAGATGCAGAAATGGTCACATAACTACGTGCCCTAGACCGTCCTAAGACAGGAGATCTTTTGTACTTGGCAGTGGTAGTGATGGATGGTGTAAGTGCTGGAGTGGTCACAGGCCAGCTGGACGTGGGGAAGGGCAAGAGGATGGGGGTGGGGGTACCAAAAGGGTGTGTGTGTCTGTAATGAACAAATTCTAACATGCCCGGGGGCTACAGACCCCTCCTAGGACACCAAGGTGCCCCTGTGCAACCTCTGCCATGTGCAAAGAAGAAATGAATCCAGTGAGCTGCACAGAGAGGTTTCTACATCTGGCCCCAGACTGAGAGGATGGATGACCATGCAGTGTTACTGGGGCAGACTTCAGGCTTCGCAGGGCGCTGCAGGACACAGGCAACACTGCCCACAAACATGGAAAACTGGAACAAATGCCAACATCAGAAGAATGCGTGCATGGGGACAGTAAGGAAAAGTACACTAAAATAGAAAGAAGAAAAACATCTGTTAACTCCAATCCTACAGTAGGGCTCATAGCAGCAGCGTAAGAATTCACAGAATTATTTTTTAATAATATTTATCAGAAACATGGCATTTTACATCTTCAGGGCACTGAATATACAATGATTATTCCTCACAACATCCCTGTGAGGTAGGCATTAGATCGCAGTTACTATTTGACATGTGGACAGAGGCAGAGAAGCACGTAATCAGTCCTGCACAATTAAGTTAACAAAGTTCAACTCACTTAAACATGGAGAGGCCCTCAGTGACTTGACTGAAAATATAAGAGTGGGGCAGAGCTGAGACTTTATCAGCTATATTCTTTTACTGTAGTCAATTACAATGCTCAGGGTCCAACTCTGCTGCTTCCCCATATCCCCCTGCAAAAAACCACCTTTGTTAAACAAGATACACATGCAGAGAGTTGCTACAAAGTGAGATCTGTAATAGAAATAGGAAAAACACACTTCAGTTTAGCCTACGCTTGAATGAAACCATGAGAGAAGTTTGCCTGCCCAGTCAAACAGAAGACTTCCAACTTTAGTCCTTTATGACATCTCCAAGACAGCATTTCAGCCTTCAGCTATGAGTATTTGCTTGACCTAAGAAAATCTAGGGAAAAAAAGTTTGGTAGGCTGTGATCCCTGCCTCAGAAAGCATGCTTATTTAAGTTAAATTGTTCTACTAAGTCTGTGGGATTCCCGAATAGGAGGAACTTTAGGGTTTAACTCTAACTTTGCATGTATTTAAAAAGCCCCTCAGTACAGCAATTTCTCAAGTAAACTTCTCTTTCAGAATTTTTTTGTTCCAAAAGTGAAATAGAACAGTTTTGTAAACTTTAACATAATAAAAAAAAAATCCTAGTTTTTAATATACAATTATTGATGAATTTCATTTAATAACTTTCTTTCTACTGTAAATCAACTTTAGGAAGCAAAGTACACTTGACAGTATGGCTACCGTGATTAATTCATCTTCTTTAGCTTTAAGTTGAGATTTCTGAAAAGATACACTGTCCAAGAAAGACTCATAGTCTCAACCTGTAAACTGTCACACCTCAGCTCAATGTAGCTGTTACAACTCATTCGGACTGAGTAGCTAATCCATTGATTCCTTCACCTGCAGTACCTGTGATAACGGTCTGTCTCCAAGTTGAGAGATGATCACGATTAAAGAGGCCTTGGTCCACATACTCTGAAAACCAAAATATGTTGCCTTCCCCAGTAGAGAAATCTTCATTCTCATTTAATAGAAGATTCAGTCTAATGGAATAATGGCTGTGCACTATGATGGTAGAAGAATAAAGCAGTGGCTTTTGGAAGAAAGCATCTTCATTTGGGGCGGGGCGGGGAGGGAGAGGGAAGAGTAACTGTTAACACTACTACCACTGGACATGTGAACTTCTAGACCAAGGTTTGCTTTTCCTTCTGTAAATTGAAATTTTGTCACTATCTCTCCCCCAAGGAACTTTAACCCTGGTGAATATACAGAATTTTTAAATCCACAGAGCAACCATAGCCTCCAGACAAGGCGGGGGGGAAAAAAAAGAAAAAAAAAGAAAACCGAAAAAGCTCAGAAGTGCACTTTGTATATCTTGCCTCACAAAGGGTTAAAGTGCTAAGTTTGATATATCCAAAAATTAAGTATCGCTCCTAGTCTTTTATTTTTTTAAATGAAACTTTATCTTTGGTTTCTTGTATCTTCTCTGTAATTTTATCCTTTGTTTCCTCCATCTTCTCTGTAATTTTATCCTTTGTTTCCTCCATCCTGTCTTGTAGATATTCCTTTACTGGTGGTGGTGTGGACATGTAGCCATTCTTACGCAGGTATTTAACAGTGATGGACGTTCCTCCCAAAGTCACAGTGTACCTGGCAGGAGTTGCAATCTTAAAGAAACCAAAGAACACACCATATCAGTAAAAAGGGACAATATTATCTAGCAAAAGGTATTTTTAATAGTGAGAATTTATTTTGGCAAGTGTCAGACACTAAAAAGATCTTCTACTTATAAGAAAATAAGCCAATTTACAGTTCACCCCCCAGAAATGCATACCTTTTACTTAAAAGTATCTTTTTGACAAAATCAGCATTAAACTTCCGTTTAAAAAAAACCCCCACCTCCCTGTACAGCTTGTGGGAGGAGCATTAGGCATCTCAGAATGCAGTCCAGAACAGTATGAACACTGAGCCATACAGAGACGAAATACTGACAAGAAGATATGCTTTAAACTCTAAAATTCACAAGAGTACAGGCTTCTTTCAGTCCAAAACTAGGACTCGCACACAGAAAACTAGAGCTAAATGAGACCTTAAGAGGTCAGCTAATCCAAGACACAACAAACCAGGTCTGTTATACTAGATAGACTAACCTGTTCTTTCAGAACTTCAAAGATAAAGCCTGCACAATCTTCCCTTTGTACCCTATTCTAGTGCTTCCACATCTTGAAAGTTTCTTCCAACACTGCCAGATCTCCCAGCTATAATAAAGTCTTTATACTTAACCACATTTATTTATTGGTCTCTCTTAGGCACAGGAATAACTGGCAAGAGCAGTGCTTTCACATTTTGTTTGGGAAAACGACCCCTTTAAATAACAGATAAGAAGCACATTACCTTGGGAAACAAAACAGATGAGCGGCATTTGAAGCAAATATAGTACTTTGTATTTGCATGGTCTGACACGTTTCAAGTTTCCCCAAGCACAGATTGTGCGGATTGTGCACGTATAAAGTGATAAAAAAAGAACCCAAACCTGAATGTAGGTAATTGTTTCAAACGGACAATGAAAGTACTTGACAGTGATGGAGAGCTAAGGTAGGAAGATAAACTAGCGAGTCTTCTAGGATAAAAACAACTGTAGTTTTATCTGGAAATCTTGAGGTGTTTAGACTTTACTTCTTTATCCCTGTTAATTATGTCATGATACAGAGGAATAACTTAATTGTAATTAAATCTGAGGGCAGACAATAGTTCTGCAGCAAATGAAGAAAGAATTTATTTTAGAAATACAGATGGACTCCTTAAAGGACCACAGAGCTCATATCAACTTGCATGTGACTATTTTTACTACAAAAACGAATGCTCAGGTATGTGTAACTATCAAAGACGAAAACCAGCATTAATTCTTTCTGCTGTAAACAAATAAACCCTGTTCAGTTCACCAGACAAGATTTAGAGCTTATTTACAAACTGTGATTATACTTACTTTATACAATGCATATGCAGTTAGTGCATTTCCACTCTGGGAATTTTTCAGGATGTTTACTATGCTGTCTGGTAAGCCAATCAATTCTAGGAATGGAACAACATTCACTCCTCTACAAAAGAGAAAAAAAATTGACAGCCTGAACTGGAATTTGAAACCTGAACAGTGATTTACAGTACCATTGCCATCCTTTAACTCTACTACACAAACTTTGTAGTTTAATAGCAAAGTATTTTTTCATTAAGCAATATACTTACAGGATTTGTGTTTCTGTACACATAGGCAAATTAATGTTCTTTTCAGCATTCCACCAAGAGTTGACCCATTTATATTCGCCCTGTTGGGCTGAGCAGCTAACAACTTACCTGTGTCCCAGTTTATTATGTTTAGAGTTAAGTAGATATAATGGTGGTAAGACAGCTACTCAGGCTCCAGTTGTGCAGGTTCACCTTCGTGGTCGGTTTTGCCTAAAAATTTTTTTTTCTTTTTAAAATTTCAGACTAATCTGCAGCATGCTCAAAAGCACAGAATCCAGATTTCAGTGTCTCCATTCGCTTTTAAATATATCAAACAAACGGAATGTGGCAAAAGAAAAGGAAACAACAGGTTATATGGACAAGACTTCACAGGTTTTCTGCCCAGTTGTTCTACCCTGTCGATATGAGGTGGCAAGGTGGGTGGAGGGAGCTCCTACCACCATTTCTTTCTACTTGCAAACCAAGGAAGCTAACATCAGCACCAAAGAAAAAAAGACAGCCCGTCGTTACATTGCAGTAGAAAGCTACATTCAGTCATAGAAGACCTGACTGACCAATATTTAGACGTGTTGTATTATTAGTTCATTATCCACTTCTGCCTAATATTTTAAGCATTCTTCTCTCCATGAGATCACCTTAGCATCACGAACAATAACAGGCAGTAATTTACTAACAGTTACTAGAAACATCAATCTGAAGGCCTATCCCCAGAATAGAAAACTGAGACCTAGTAAGATCTGAAAGGCAGCATTAACCATACTATTTATTAAACCACCATTACTTAGTCTCGTATCATGAGCAGTCATTCTGAAAGCTATTTTTCCTCTTCAAGAGGGTGCTGCTCCTGTGGCATGACAAACTGAAGCTTTGTTATTATTAGTTTCTAGTTAAATATTTCAGTTGTTTTCATCCATCAAATACCTATTTTAGCAGCTTACTTAAGTGTTTCAAGAAAAGTACTCTTCATTCAATCTGAAATGTCTGGATGTAAGCATCAACCTGAATTCAACCACAGCAAAATACTTTTATAGCTCAAGACCTTTATTCCTCTGACATGAGCTAAATTTAGAATGACATTTGGATCTATAGCTCCTAGAAAGGGCAATTATGCCAGCTGGTTAGAGTAACTAAAACAAACACTTGTGCAGTAAGGCATTCTGATGTCAAAGCCCCATTCTTGCCGCCATGAGCTGTCCCTGTTTCATGCTTTCTATTATTAAATATACAACACTAACAATCCAGAGATAAACATTTACTCACATTTAGCAAACCATTTGCAGATAGATAAAACCTCTTTCATCTGAGCTAGCAGCTCATAGCTGATATAATAGGGTTTTTTTTCCTAATAAATGCCATTTTCCAGAACAGTATCTGGCACATGCTATAGCTGAAAGAAACTAAAATTAGAATACATAATTTATCTTTTTTTAGCCACACAAATATTTAATTTCCAATTCGAACATCTGGCCTACAGTGGCAATTTTTTCAGTGGAAGGCAGGAAAGACAGGAAACAGAAAAAAAAAAAAAAGGAAAATATACACATGGCTTGTGAGGAGCTCAGAGCGAGGTGAACAACACGAAAGTCCAATGATGAGGGAGGACTGGGGATGAAGAGTGGAAGAAGTGGTGAAATACCCCTCAAGTCCAATGGCAAGAAAAGAGCAAGTTTATAAAGATCTCACCTAGCAATTCGTAATCAGGATTCTAAACGCCTATCTTAATCTTGTGAGAGGTTACTAATAATTTCAATGCTGGTTACATCCATTCATATTTTGTGGAGATGAGCATTCCTTAAAACGTTAGCAACATATCTGGTATAGAGCAGTAGCTGCATAATAATAGTACGTACGTGACACTCTCATGAATCCTGTATACTTTCCCTATTACATATAGAGGCACTTTTTAACATGTAATAATAATTTGTATGTCCTTTCACCTGTGAAAGTCAGTCTCAATTCAACAGCAGTATTGGGCACTGCAACAAAATACCAACTTACTTCATGGCTGCATAGTAAAAGGATCCAAACCATACAGTGGAAGTCAGAAGATGCACTGGAATCATGACTTTTCCATACTGTTTAAAAGTTTTTTTGAATCTCCGAACAAGACTAATTGATTTGTCTTGTAGTGGATCAGGATCTGAAGAATCTGACTCTACAGGGCTCTGCTTGGGTGTATCAGTGGCCGAAGTCGAAGGATTTCTCTCTTCTGGTCCTTTGTGAGGAGTGTCTGCTGGATGTGATGAAAAAGCACTTTTCTTTGAGGCAAAGCATGCTGCACCTGCATGAAGACATCGTTTAGGAGGGTCCAGTGCCAGGATCACTTTGCATCCAACATTAGACAACAGCGATTGTCCTTTTAAGCACTGAAAGACACTAGTGCGAGGAAGAGACAAACATGTCCCATGTGCCAGCTGAGATGCAGTATGTAATAGACTCCGTTGCATTTTGTTGATGTGTGGCTGAGGTTTCTATAGAGAGGAAAAAAGAAGAGAGTAAACAAATTGCATTTAAGTAATCTGATTTGTAATTGCTTCAATGCCACTTGAAATTCTCAAATTTTAAATTGTTTTCTATTTTTCTACTTGAAAAGGTTTTCCTTATCTTGTTTTGCAGAAGTTGTGCAAAAGAATAGAATTAAGCAAATAATTTCTTTAGCATTGTGAACTAAAATGGCCCCTTGACTTAACACACTCTGCTCCTCACAGCAAAAGTGCTCATTCTACTCTCTAAAAATACTTTTAGATGTTTAGTGCTAACTACTGCTTTTACCTGCATAATCTGGCACAGTTATTGAAAAGTTACCCTTGAAACTGCACTTCTAATAGCAACTGATAGTTTGAGTGATACTTCTAGCCTACAAAAGTGTAGTATAAACTTACTGAAGTGGAATTATTATTATTAATAATAATAAATCAATAATCTTAATAGTAACAAACCTAACCACAATAGCCTGCCAGTATACATCTGTTAGGAAGGGGGACAGTACTGTTGAATGTCATGTATTAACAGGAGCAAAATTGATCAGCAATTTCAGAAATATTACAAAGGAAAGAATATTTTAAAACTGTGGATTACCCAGTTACCCTTATGATTTTGATTACTTAACAGTTACTCCTGAAAGTTCAAAAGAACCATTGAGAGTCTCCACAAAAGAAGAGAGGAATTTTATTTGGCATGTATAGACACCCAAAAGTCACATTTTCCCCTCAAAAACGCATGCTTTGAACTAGTGTAAAGGAAAGGAGAGAGTATTTCATTCACAATGACTGCAAGTTAGAGAACTAATTTTCCTTCTCTTCAAAAAAAGTGCCTGTTGATATTATGTAACAAATTCCAGTTAAGTCAGTTATATTACAACTTTTGAATCTTTCTCATGCTTTTACATTCTTAATTACCATAACAACTCCTGATCAAAACCAGAAATCACTTAAGCTTAATTGAAACTCCGCGGTTGTCTTCATGTCTGCTTCCCCTTCACCTACAGCCTTAGATATATTTGTCAGGTGTTTTGATACTCAATTTGTCTAGGCTGCTGAAAATTATTAATACTTCATAACTTAAGTAAAAGTTTTTAAAAAATGAAGCCATACATACCCTTTAGTACTTGCCAGGTATGCAACAGGAGAAGTATAAGGTTTGTATTTTCAAAAAGTTGCAACTCTTCCACTAGTTCCCCACCTTTCAAATATATGTCTTGAACATATTGATGACTCTGTTAAAGTAGAAAAAAAAAAGGCACATTTAGAGAAATAGCAACAATAGCAAACTAATACTATGAAGATTTTTGGTCAGTCTGAAACCTTGCTTACTGAAGAAGTTATTGGTATAAACACCCCTTTGGATACTGACATGCTAATGGGAGACTTTTTTTCTGTTCCTCAACTGTGAACTACTGTTTCCTTCCAAGGGAGAAAAGCTTAATAACCCAAATGCATCTGTTGGAACATTCCTGCCTATATGTTTTCTAGATATTTTTATGTTATTGTTCTGCTTGAATTAATTGCAATTACTGGAATTACAATGTTTGATGTGGGGAAAAGATTGAAGGAATGGTTTTATGCTCCCTGGGAACCTCACCTTATATGTGAGGTGTAGATGCCCACTTCTGTTGAACCCATACTAACAGAGGAGGTATTGCATCAACAGGGGAAAAGGAACTCTTGCCTCTATGTAAGCAAGCAGTTACTCACTCCTGTTGAGTTATGAACTCAGTGGGAGCCAAGAAGTACTGCTGCTTATAGAGCAGCAAATCAGCTACAGGTACTGCCTCTCAACGAGTCAGCCTTCGCTAAGAATTCACTGGAAGTGGCAACTGCTTGTGGTATCTCTGGTTTTACGAGCAGCTGAGATTCTTGGTGACTTCTTAGATCCAAATGCAATTGCTTCTCAAAACAAAAAATTAGTGAAAACACTCAGTAAAACTCAAGTGTTAAGACGGCACTCTCACATACCAACTACCGCACTGATTTATAGAAATTATAACAACATTGCTTGCCTATTGCCACTTATGCTCCTTTCCTGAGAGATAACACTCTCTACAGAGGACTGTTATCCCCTCTCACTAATCATACACAACACTCTGAGCATCTGCCCTAAGGAGATTTTCACAATATCCAGCCAGCAGACTCAGTAAAAGATACCTATCCATCTATGGGAATTTGGGAGTTCCTGAGTTAAGACTATTCTATTTTCAGTGGATGGTACCCTATTGAAAAATACCTGTTCCAAACAACCTTTGAAAATTGCCACCATGTAGCATGGGGGGAAACCATGCTCAGCACTCTGATTTTGGTTCATTAGTGCTATTAACAGGACTCTGCATTCCAGCAGCCTTGGAAGGAGATCATTCTTCTGTATGGAAGCAAGAAGAAACTGAGCAAGTATTTCTGAATTTTCCCATTATATATAGTGTATATATATGGTAGCATATATATATATATGGTAGCATATCTCACTGTTTCTAGGTTTTGCTGTCCAGCATCTACTGACGGCACAAAAGTAACACTGTACCACACCTCTGATTCATTGCAACGGCTTCAGAACACTGGGGTATGAAATAGCTTCTGGGGGGTGAGAATTCACATTAATGGAAGAAGCAATGGGTCACTACTATGTGTTCAATACTCATCAGTCAGTAGTTAACATAGCTGTGATTGGTAAATGAGTTTCAAGGCCTCTGCTCACAGAGTTAGGTGCACCATATAAGACTTAAAAATAGAACATCACTGATGACTTTAAAGCAGGGGAACTGCCCAAGCCACTGACAAGACTTGACGTGCCATTTTTTTGTTCTTATATCCTCAGATGGACTTGGAACACATTAACTAAAAGGCTTTTGTCCATGATGCAAGACCTGGCTGGTCAAAGGGAAGGTTCTCTAACCATCTAAGGTAGATCCTGAAAAGGTTCTGAACCTTGTAAGCACAGATGATAGTATGGTGCTAGCTAATATTCTGTGAAACAACTTACTGTTTGCTTCTCCACTTTCAATAAGCTTTTTGCTAGACACTTGATATATAAAAAAAGGCTTAGATAGATAGCACTTATATTTGAGAATAAGAAAACAGGCTTTTCAAAACAAGGTTGGAACTTTCTTAACAGTCCTACTGTGTTTTATAGGTACATGCTTCATTTTACTTATCTAAATGAACAAAGGAGAGATTTTTGAAGTGTCAGTAAACTGAGGATGACGCTACTATCCAATAGCACTACAAGACTCAAGGAGGGAAGTATTATAATGGTTACAGCAGGATGGAGGAAAGGCAAATGAATAAAATAATGGATTAATATAGCATACACTTTGTAATTGATTTTAAAGAAATAAATATTGCTAAAGGGGTGATGAGTATAGCTGCTCAATTGTAATCTTTTAATTACTTGGCTCAACATTGCAAACATCTTAAACAGGACAGACAACTTAGAGTGCACAATAAATGCAGTTGGAGGTCCAAAGAAATACGAAGTTGTAGTTGTTTCATCCTTCTAAAACATGAGATGAATACAGAGAAATCTGTCCTTTAAGATGTGATTAGTGAAAGGAAGTTCCTAGTACCCTGTACACTCAACAAGCAGCAGGAGAAAGTGTGTCAGCCTATGCATTTGAGGCACGATTTTATTCTCTAAGTATACTTTCCTTAAAGAAATTACTGGAGCCATAAAACTTATACAATTGACCCTGTTGTTAAAATCACTCAGATTCTAAGGAAGTCAGGACAGTAACCTAAATGTTATCCACAATTACACCTAGTGACTTTTCAAAAGCTGTTTCTTCATTTAAGTGTATTTCATTTTTTCATGCTGTTGCACAATGATGCAAAGACATAGAAAATGAGAGAAGCCAGAAGCTTCAAATACCAAGGTAGAAAAGCAGCTGGTCTGTGGCATGAGAATTTTTGGGGGGCAGAAGGTGTTTCAAAGGATCTTAGACATCTACATTAGCTTTCTTTTAAAAACACCACAAGAAAAAAACGATGTCTATGGACCAATATAGCTGTTCTCTGCTGTAAGAATCTCACATGGTCAAGTGACTGAATGCTAGTAGGACAAACTACAAAATGAAATACAAACACTTCTGGGATAAGGTCTCCTCTTCAGTGCTGTCATATTCTGGCTATTTAGTAGTATCTCCAGCTGGCTGTAAACTGAGCTGAAGCGATCTTGGCTGTTCAGGACATACTCCTGATTGGGATTCTTGGACATCCATTTAGTTCCTGAAGGCACGTCTGTCTCATGGCAAGCTATTAACAAGCCCTCTGATGTAAAGGGAGTGCTCTAGTGGCCGCTTGAGTAAAAGTATAGATCAGCTTCTCATTAGAGTGCCAGACGTTTTCTTTAGGAAACTTTGGTACTTCTATTACAATTTAGATCAGTTTTGGCATAAAACTCGTGCTACAGGAGCATCCTGTCTTTTGCTCTGCTAAATCTTTGCCTTCCAGTGGTTATTTTGTTCCCAAAGACAACAAAAGTTCAAGATCTTCTAGTGTCACAGATTTGGTCTGCTTAACTACCACAAATTTGTGGGTTTGGATGTGTACTAACATTTTAAGCCAAAAAGAAACAAGGCATCATTGGAAAAAACAGAAGTAACAAACCAGGCTGATACAGGTACAGCAAAGGCTGCTGCGGATATCTGCCGTTGGAAAGAGAGATCATGCCAGAAATGCTGTCAGATGAAACCTTCATCAGGATAATTTGTATGAAAGCAGTTGTCCTGTTACAATTAACATTTTTTGAGCTACCAGAGAAATTAAAATATGAGCATGGGGGTGGATGTAAGATGGCAAAAACTTTGGTGTAAGTTCTTTTGTAAAAGAGGTCAGAAAGCATCTGAGGGGATTGAGGGTATAGTACATGTAGACTACACTGGCTTATTTTCTTAGTTCTACCAGAAACACCCTGGCCGCAATATGTAAATACGTATGAATTTGAAGCATTTTTACTTGTTCTGTTACTGTTTAAAAAAAAAAAGTACATTAATTATACCACAGGAGAGTTCCCTGTGAAAATCCATGAGCTTTTTCTACTCCCAGGGCACTTTTCTATGAAACCACAGAATTAATTTACATTCTTGTCATTTTTAGTGTAAAAATCAAGCAAACTTTGAGGGTCATATATTGCATATACAGAAGAATGTTGAGAGGACACAAACCAAGTTTTCAGAAATCCTTTCCAGCTCACCTTTCAGATTGCATAAAAAGCAAATGTAGAGATATCTCATCCAAACATCTCAGTTTAATAAAAAACCTCACTGTATTGCTTGCATTTTTACTAAATATAATTTAAAAATTTTTTTTTTCAGGTTTAAGTTGTTCTTTTCAAGAACTTCAAGAGTCTATGGATGAGCATTTGGAATTTGTATTTTGACCTTTACTACTTTTGCACTGTCCCTGACACAATCTATTATTTGTTCTAAACTAAGAAACTTGGTTATAATTTGAAGCTTGGGCATCACTAGCTGTCCAATCCTGTCTACCATTCAGAGCTGTCTTAAAAAAAACCCAACAACACACCACATTTTAGGTTAAAGGGAGTAATGCAAAATAAGTCATGGTGAAACTATTAAAGTCTTTTTAAAAAACCATCACATTAAAACAAATGAAAGAATAAACTCTTGTAGACAAATTACCCTAAAACATTAGCCCCATCCCACCTCCAACATGCCTAATCTCTATAATATGTTCACTTAGTAAATGCTATGCTATAATTTTTAAATTGATCATATTGCTACAGCTCATTATTGATATAAGTGGAGACAAGCCAACAACTTTTTTTACTCTTATTTTATCTAAACTAATCTTGTTCTTGCTAAAACAAACTTAGTGAAGTCAAGAAAGCAGAATAAACCCCGATAGGGTCCTTATGTGCACAGCAATCCACTACTACAATCTTCTGATACTGAAGTATTAGAAACCACAACAAAAAGTAGCTTTAGGAAGCGTAAAAGTTCTTGTAGACAATTATAAAGTCTGAACATTGGATTCAGAAGGCAAATAAAGCAGGAGAACCTAATGTAATGCCTGTGTGTTGAGTTATAAAATAAATCTGAAATGCTAAACAGGAGGCTTAACAGTTGATCTGCGTCCAGTCAACATGGCACTGGTATCCCCATCTCCCCCTGTGTTGGAAGGCATTAGATCTTTAGCTTGCACACAGCTAAGCATTGCAAAAAAGTGCGAATGTTCTCTAATTCTTCTAAAAGAAAGTACAGCAATCATTTGTACTGCTTTCTGCTC